CGATGAACGGTGTTGCCGTGGTTACTAAAAATGGAAATTTCTGTGAAATTCTTTCAAAATGCTACTCCTCCTACAGTTTTAGTCTGATTTCAATATAACTTGGCACACAAGTAGACTACACTAAGATACATAATTCTGTGTATTGGTTTTTGATTTCGATGAATGGTGTTGCCAGGGTTACTAAGAATAGAAATATCTGTTAAATTGTTTCAAAATGCTATTCCTCCTACAGTTTTAGTCTGATTTCAATATAACTTGGCACACAAGTAGACTACACTAAGATACATAATTCTGTGTATTGGTTTTTGATTTTGATGAACGGTGTTGCCGTGGTTACTAAAAATAGAAATTTCTATGAAATTCTTTCAAAATGCTACTCCTCGTACAGTTTTAGTCTGATTTCAATATAATTTGGCACACAAGTAGACTACACTAAGATACATAATTCTGTATATCAGTTTTTGATTTCGATGAACGGTGTTGCCGTGGTTACTAAAAATATAAATTTCTGTGAAATTCTTTCAAAATGCTACTCCTCCTACAGTTTTAGTCTGATTTCAATATAACTTGGCACACAAGTAGACTACACTAAGATACATAATTCTGTGTATTGGTTTTTGATTTTGATGAACGGTGTTGCCGTGGTTACTAAAAATAGAAATTTCTGTGAAATTCTTTCAAAATGCTACTCCTCGTACAGTTTTAGTCTGATTTCAATATAACTTGGCGCACAAGTAGACTACACTAAGATACATAATTCTGTATATCGGTTTTTGATTTCGATGAACGGTGTTGCCGTGGTTACTAAAAATAGAAATTTCTGTGAAATTCTTTCAAAATGCTACTCCAAATACAATTTTAGTCTGATTATAATATAAATGTGGCATGCAAGTAGACTGCACTAAGAACATAAAGAGACTTAATCGAGGATCATTATTCTATTTATTGCTGTTGAAAAGTTTCAATTTCCAACTGCTTAAGTACTTTTCTCTTCCTTTGCTATAAGTACAAACCAGTAGAGCTTCAGTCTCGACAGAGACTTCTGGTTAATATTTAGCATCTACACTACCCAAAGATGCTTCCATATAAGTAGCAGCTTTTCTGGCCCAGTGGTTCTTGAGAAGAAAATGTTTAAAGATTTTTCCTATATATTTCTATGTAAAACTTTGATTCCCCGTTGTGGCCCCGCCCTATCCCCGGGGGTCATGATTTTTACAATTTAGAATCTACACTACCCCAGGATGCCTCCACATAAGTTTCAGCTTTTCTGGCCCAGTGATTCTTGAGAAGAAGATTTTTAAAGATTTTTCCTATATATTTCTATGTAAAACTTTGATTCCCCATTGTGGCCCCGCCCTTTCCCCGGGGGTCATGATTTTAACAATTTAGAATCTGCACTACCTAAGGATGCTTCCACATAAGTTTCTGCTTTTCTGGCCCAGTGGTTCTTGAGAAGAAAATTTTTCCTATATATTTCTATGTAAAACTTTGATTCCCCATTGTGGCCCCGCCCTATCCCCGGGGTCATGATTTTTACAATTTAGAATCTACAATACCCCAGGATGCTTCCAAATAAGTTTCAGCTTTTCTGGCCCAGTGGTTCTTGAGAAGAAGATTTTTTAATGACCCCACCCTATTTTTGTATTGTCTTGATTATCTCCCCTTGTAAGGGGACTTGGCCCTTCATTTTCATAATTTAAATTTCCCTTCACCCAAGGATGCTTTGTACCAAGTTTGGTCAAAATTGGCCCAGTGGTTCTTGAGAAGAAGTTGAAAATGTGAAAAGTTTACAGACGGACAGACAGACAGACAGACGGACGGACGACGGACAAAATGTGATCAGAAAAGCTCACTTGAGCCTTCGGCTCAGGTGAGCTAAAAACTGATACACAGAATTATGTATCTTAGTGTAGTCTACTTGTGTGCCAAGTTATATTGAAATCAGACTAAAACTGTAGGAGGAGTAGCATTTTAAATGTATTTCAAAGAAATTTCTATCTTTAGTAACAACAGCAACACTGTTCATTGAAACAAAAACCTATACAGAATTATTTATCTTAGTGTAGTCCACTTGTATGCCAAGTTATATTGAAATCAGACCAAAACTGTAGGAGGAGTAGCATTTTGAATGTTTTTCACAGAAATTTCTATTTTTAGTAACAACAGCAACACTGTTCTTTGAAATCAAAAACCAATATACAGAATTATGTATCTTAGTGTAGTCTAGTTGTGTGCCAAGTTATATTGAAATCTGACCAAACTGTAGGAGGAGTAGCATTTTGAAAGTATTTTTTAATTCTATTTTTAGTAACAATGGGAACACCGTTCATCGAAATCAAAAACCGCTATATAGAATTATGTATCTTTGTGTAGTCTACTTGTGTGCCAAGTTATACTGAAATCAGATTAAAACTATAGGAGGAGTAGCATTTTGAATGTTTTTCACAGAAATTTCTATTTTTAGTAACAACAGCAACACCGTTCTTTGAAATCAAAAACCAATATACAGAATTATGTATCTTAGTGTAGTTTAGTTGTGTGCCAAGTTATATTGAAATCTGACCAAAACTGTAGGAGGAGTAGCATTTTGAAAGTATTTTTTAATTCTATTTTTAGTAACAATGGGAACACCGTTCATCGAAATCAAAAACCGCTATATAGAATTACTGTAAACCAACTATTATTCGCGTCATCTTTTATTCGCGATTGGTCAGTCTGCAATCAATCCGCGACGATCAATTTTCGCGACTGAGGAACCCTTTTCTTCTCACACAAGGCAAAAATAAGTAATCCGCGGCTATTAATATTCGCGATTTACAGTAAGTAGCGAAACTCGCGAATATTTCTCGCACGCGAATAAAAGTTGGTTTACAGTATGTATTTTTGTGTAATCTACTTGTGTGCCAAGTTATATTAAAATCAGATTTAAACTGTAGGAGGAGTAGCATTTTGAATGATTTTCACAAAAATTTTTATTTTTAGTAACAACGGCAACACCGTTCATCGAAATCAAAAACAGATAAATAGAATTATGTATCTTTGTGTAGTCTACTTGTGTGCCAAGTTATATTGAAATCAGACCAAAACTGTAGGAGGAGTAGCATTTTGAAAAATTGTTACAGACGGACAGACAGACGGACGGATGACGGACGCATTACTATCGCATAAGCTCTTCTGGTCTCTGACCAGTAGAGCTAAAAATCATGAATATTCATAATGCAGCTGTATAAGGAGTCGGGGCCTAATTTATACGGGAAAATGTAACTTGTTATTGTGACGTCATCCTTGCAAACTAATGTGCACTAGCTGAGAGCTATCCACAGACCATGTAACTTTGTAACAGTGGAAATTGTTTATAAAACAAAAAAAAGTTTCTTGTAGATAAAAGTATTTTGTATCTAATTGATTCAAATGCAAACTTTAAGACAATTTATTGAATTTATTTATTTCATTTACATTCTAAGTAATTAATATTTCCTTTATTTCCATTTCCTTTATAATTGTATTGTTTGAATTAGAATTGCAGTTACTGGCTTTGAAAATGTCTAATTTTTGTATCGGTATAATAAAACAGTTAAAGTATATCACTGAGGGAGTCAGCAAGATTCCAGTTCCTCTCGATCAAGCCTATTTCCCTCGGCACAAGCGCCTCGGGAAATAGACTTGGTCTTGGGGAACTGGAATCTTGCCGACACCCTCAGTGATGTACTTTAATTGTATATTAATATCGATCATCATATATTTCCATTTCTATTCGTTTTCTCTCTGATAACTCTTTGAAAGTTACGGTACTAGAGTTACCATGATTTCTTGAGCATTCTACAGCAATGTAAATCAATGAAGTTTCGCCAAGCAATCAATGAGGAGTTAAGGATGCCTAATATGCATGTAAACCTTGTGCATCTGTGTTTGTGTCTAAACACTAAGGAGGCCTTATATGCATGTATTAATCTTGCACGGCTGTCTTTGTGTTTGACATCAGCTAGTGGGCGGGAACTATTGAAATTGACATGGGAGACCACATGTATTTCAAATCTATTACATCTTAATTTACAATTTTATTTCACAATGAAATGCAAATACAAGGAATCACTGTCAACTTTACAGATTATGCCAGGGCATCAATGATAGTTGGAAATGTGGGATAATTTGGGATAATCAACAGGCGTTGATGACCCTGGTAAACCGAATAAAGTAGTAGATTATAATTTAGAAAAAAAATTGTCCACTAAATTTAAATTACAAGAGGCCTTCCATGTCAATTTCAATAGACCATGCCCACTGACAATCGAGACACAAAGACAGGTGCACAAGATTTACATGCATATTAGGCCTAGGCCTCCTTAGTCCTGACCATTTGCTTGGCGAAATTTACATTCGGTAGAATTATCAAGATATCCGCTCAAACTTTCAAAGAGTAATCACAGAGCAAACAAACAGAAATAGCTAGAAATATTACAGAAACAAGTGCCTGTGCTCCTAAGATATGAATGCTGGTTTATATGCCAAAGTAAGCATATGACTGTAAACGTCAGTGCTTTTCACAATACATATATTTACATCCACTGAATAGTTTCTCCTTTATTTCTTAAGAAACCCATTGCGTTAATCACTGCATGAACTACAGTAGGCATGTTGCCTGTACAGATTTCTTGATCAGTGGCTGTTCCATCAATGAAACGTATAAAGACGTTCGCATCATTAATACAATAATTAATCTTTTTAATCCTACTTTAAATGATTATTTAAACAGATATAAATATAAACAATAAAATGTCTTTCTTTGTTTGTTACTACTGGAATTAACAGTCGCAGTTATTGCAGAAAAAAATTACATAACCCGTGTAAGCAGATGTGTCTGAAGTAAGTGTATGGACAAGGACTACAGAAATTCGCGTGAAATGTCTAAAGTATTTTAATTCTATCATTAAGAACATCTTAAAATTACATATTACATAACAGTTAAAATATTTTCAAACAACATATTTAATTATGATGCACATCAATGTCACACTAAATCTGCACAGAAATTAAGTCCAATCCTCGTGTCGTTGAAATGTTCACTATAAAGTATTAAAGCACACGATAAAAGAGGTTCACTTGAAAGCACATTTCACAGTACATGTAATAACTTGGAAGTTCATGAAAGAGCACATATCACAGCACTATACACAATAACACTAAAGTTCATTAGTCACTGCATGGTCCTTAGATATCTCCGCACTCGCTGAGGAGCTGGGATACAGAGCGCTGCCCATACTCCTCCCAGGTCTGGTGTAAACCGCATTTCATCCTGCGCTGTTTTTGTCATTGGTTTCGGAAGATTTGTTCTTCATTCACCAGTTGGTGGGTAAGCTCAACAATGATCACTTCAATGTAGGATTTGTTGCCTCGTCCCATGTCTGCATTGATCCATGTGTGGTAACCTAAAGTGAAAGTTTAATTATCATTTTATTTGTTGAAAACGACAAGAACATACATGTTCTCAATTAAGAGATAACATTTTCATCAAGAAGTAAACCATACTAGAAAAATATTATTTTTGCACTACATAATTATATAAATGTACATGTATTACCTTCCACGTCATTGTTGGTCCTGATGGACTGTCTGTAGATGGACCAGTTCCCTGACCTCCACACGGGGTTGTTTAGCCAGGTGTTCTCCGTGTAGCCAACAAGGTTCCTCAGCTCGGTGGATGTAGCTCGCTGACTTAGACGCTGGCTTAGACGTTGGAATGCTGGCTCTGTGTTGGTGGATGATAGAAACTGCAGCACCATGAGCATCCTGATGTATCGATACCCAGCCTCCCGCTGACTGTATGTTGTCTTATGGCCAAGTTCCTGTGTCTTCCACCATACAGCTTGGGTGAAATGGAATACACAGCCCTTAATGGAGGCAGCCAAGAAAACTTCCCTGATCATTGCTTTTCACACAACTGAAAAAAAACTAATTAATGAAGGTTGCAAATATAAATTAGCATTTTTGTTTACATTTATAGCATAATTTAAATTTATTTACATTACTTATTGTTGATATCATCTTTTTTTATTTATTTTTACATTTTTTTCTTTTTAAAAGTCATATTAATACATGTATTTACCTTTCTCAAAGTCAGAAACAAAACCCTGGGCTTCTGGCTCTACCCCTAAGGTTTCTTTCAACTTCTTGAGAACCTAAAAAAAAAGTAAGGAATTTTTTAAAATACAAATACTAGGTAAGATAACTTTTTTAGAGATGAAGTATCATGTATGCCATGATTAAATTTATATAATGTGAGGTATGGAAAACCGTAATTCTAAACTTTATAAGGAAGATCTTTTGATTTCTCCTGGACATAAGCACAAAAAGGAGTGGCACCTGTCTGTTGCTTTCTCATCTCCTGATGGAGGCATGGATGGACCAAAGTTGATGGCTAGGAGGTGGCCTCGAATGTTCCGTCACAATACCAGGGTAAGGCATAGCAGAGAAGAAGAAGCTGGTGAGGAAAACATCAAATGTCTCAGGTCATCAGTGTGCACATCCCCCACCAGGAAATCCTCAAGATATTGCATGTCTATCTTAAACATAATTATGAAACTCACTAGTTGTTTATAGTAATGTTTTAAATCATTCAGTTCTCAGAAAGGAAAATATAAATAATTAAAAAAAATTTAAATAAAATGTTCTAAGAATAACTTATTTTTATGAATTTAGTTAACAACTTAAAAGATGTCATTAAATAGATTAATATTTAGTAGATCATATTTAGTCTTCAACTCACCCCAAAGCTGAGGTCCTTTGGCTCCTCTGGGTGCATATCTGCTCGGACTTGGTTAGCTATTCTCCTAAGGTTGCAGATCTTAGGGAGGTCGTGGTCCTCTGGCGTGATGTTTTCTAGCATGACATCCTCCACAATACATCCTGGCAGGCTTATGAATGTCTTGACAAGCTGTTGCTTTCACCTAAATTGAGATAGAAGATATTCAGTTAATCTAAGATTCATAATTGTAAATGACATTCAGATTTGGGTATTGAAAAGACCATTGTAACATTATTTAGAATATATTTTTTTAAGTTCCTGCAAACAGTTTTCTTCAAGGCTCCTTTGTCAGCTGGGTGGATATGCTCCCTCGAGTTTAGTCTGAAGGTGTTTCCTTTATGTGATACTGTTGCAGGACAGTTTATGGTTTCGGAACGCTTGGAGCATCACCAGTAGGTGAAGTCACCTTTGCTGCTCTGTAAAAATCAATTTTAATATACATTGAGGCTCAACTAATAAAATTTGATTTCAGTATATGTATTCGTCACATTGAGTATAACTTTCTCAGACCCTGTGACTATGTGACCTATGACTCAGTGCCTCTTATATGTATTTTATATGCTTCATAGGCGTCGGAAGGAAATTGAAAGTGGGGACGGGAGGGGGCTAAACCAACCAAAAAAGTAAAGTTAACCCCAATTTTCAATACATAGAAAATGTCCATCTTTGCAAAAAAAAAGGGGGGGGGGTTAAGCCCCCTGGTTCAGACGCCTATGTGTAAATTAGATTTTAAAAAATATTTTGCTCATAATTGGTACCTCTTTAAATTTAATAATGCCCCTCCCCCCCCCCCCAAAAAAAAAAACAAACACCACACACATTCACACACACACTCTCATGAACCGTACTTTTTTTTTTTAATAGGATACACATGAAGATGGAAAAGTTATGTTAAAACATAGTTTGTTATGAATTTATTTTAAAATTTGTTCTTGAACTACTGTAAATCTGGATATTTTTGCTGTAGATAAATTTTTAGCAAATTTGCAAATTCATTGCATTCGCAAAAATATTTGTCTTAAAAATAATTCATCAATAAGAAAATGTAAACAAAGTAGTGGTCATTCGCAAAATTTTGAAACATAAAAAATATAATCAACAGCATTTTGACCCAGAATCGCAAAATAAAATCAACGTAAAAATTTCCAGATTTACGGTATACATGTTTACATGTAAATTGCACCTTTTGGAAAATTTCTACATTACATTGGGTTGCGTCACCCATTATCATATTTTTAGAATACGCACCACTCGGCACACCTCGGCCGATTCGTGCTTCATCTGCATTTAGCCAAGGTTTGTCAAACAGGATAGCATGCACATGCTGCAGTGTGATGTGTATTGACAAAATCATTTTGTGTTATAATTGGATTATATTTCATGAAGTTCTCAGGACCTATGACAGTTCTGAGTTGGTAAGTACAAGTTTAAGTATAGATTGGGGTAAAATGAACCGAAATGCAAAATTTAGATTAGGTTAAAGTTCAAAGATCATCGCATGCCACAGTATAGTCGGATTTTCACATTGTGAAGTTATCTCCCGTTGTTGATGTGACATTCAGTTACAGGTGCAGATCCAGATTTTTTTCAGGAGGGGGGAGGGGGGTTCACACCTCAGTCAAAAAAATGTCAGCCCAGAATTTTCTCACAAGCAAAGACAAAAAACTGAAAACGAAGTAAAAACAATGATAGTGGGTTCATGGGGTCAATGTTTTCCAAGGGAGATGATGTCCAAAGTAAATATTTATTTGCTTCAGTATATAGTCTTATTTAAATAAGAAAGCAAACTCTGGGGGGGGGGGGGTCCAATCTCCCTAGCCACTCCCTGTTCGTGAAATTGCAGTTGATCTTGTGACTCCAAAATAGAATTTTTTTTTCCATTTGACTATATGTCTGACTGTTTGTCTGCAGAAATTTGATCAGTAATTTGGCTTAAACTTTTTACCAGTAGGTGCTAGGGTTTTCATGCTTCACATGTGTATTCATTGTAAACTTTCAACAGGTATAAATATGTTTGACCTTGGCCCTAGAGTTAGACCCACTTAAAAAAAGGAATTAACCTTGGCAATTAACTTTTGAACAGGAAGTACTAGGGATTTCTTTATATTTCACATGTGTATTCCTTGTGACAAGACTTTCTTTCGATACCAACAATTTTAACCCTTTGACCTTGACCTTTGAGTTTGACATACATTTGAGAAACTTCAACCTTCGCCATAAGCTGGCATATGTGGGCATCAGTGTTTAACAAACAGTACACCTTGTCTTCATTACTTTTAAGTGGCGGTGTCTCCATATGAGGGAAAAATTCCCGAGAGAGATGTTTTCACAACAAACAAACAAATTACTAAAAATAACATAAAACATGAACATGTTGGTTGTATCTCTTGTTCTCCATTGAATCAGAAATGATTACATAAATATTTTATCAAAGGCCTGAAGGGCCACAATGGCGCCGCCCTTTAGATATGGGCAGTGATACTGTGAAATAATTATATAGCTTAGTTGTACATGTATATCTAGATAAAATACCACGATTTCAGCATTTATGAAATAAAAGCATTCAACTCATATGGTCCAACTGAACAGCTTGAGAACAGGTTTAAATATGTAGTCACAAGTCTGTACCCCGGTAAAAGAGTATCAGGACCATACTTGCCAACACCCAAGATATATAAATCTGGTCATTTGTGTACATGTATTGATAAATCTTCTATTCAAAAAAAGGCTTTACTGAATTATTTACTTACAATGATGAAAAATTATTTATCAAATTGACATGTTAAATAAGAACATTGGTTTCACTGTCCAGCATTGACCTGAATTATAGTAAGTCTGCATTAAAAAAAGCCTTTTCGGTATGTGCTAACAGGGACCTACATCATGTAATATATACTAATATATTGTTTATATATAGGTCCTTGGTGCAATTTTTATAGAGGATTTGAAATTACTTTTCAATTATTTAATTATCTAATTAACCAGTGTAATGTGTACTAAATTTACAGTAAGACCTACACTGTTTTCGATCACTTTATTTTAGGTAATCAGGTAATGAAAGTTGTTTTCCAAGATTCCTTGACATGTACATAAATATTGTTTTTCTTTCTCTTTGTTCAATTTGTTCCTGCTGGTCTTAATAACAATCTTGTTCTATCGGAAGCCATTTTAAATTTTGATTTGTCAAAACAATTAATTATTTACACCTCCACCGATAATTTACTGGCCTACTGAACCACATCATAGCCACCGGCATTGTTTACATAGATCAAGCTTGGGTTGTAACTGGAAGTTAAAAATACAACCTAATTTACGAACCAAATCTGGAAATCGGGGATTCGGGCGATAAGCATGACTCACCGTGTCATAAAAAATAATCAGGTTATTAAGGGTCGAAAAGTAGTCTCGTTTTCCCCAACTCTCGCTCTCGAGACTTTGCCCGAGCGGGCAAAGTCTCGAGAGCGAGAGTCTGGGGAAAACGAGACTAGTCGAAAAGTAACGCGACGAAAGTGGATGAGTTGTCAACTATGTATAGGACTGTTGAAATTGTATTATTTTCAAGCAATTTATGGAATAAACGCAAAAAAGTGGCATGTATATTCCTACGCCAGATACATGAAGGTCTTGGTTCGAGTACTATATTATTTGGCGCATGAAGAAAGCGGTGAACAGTCAGGGATTTCATCATAGCTATATGTGCGCCGATCTAAAGATCGACGCCATAAAAAATAATTACATGTATTATAAGATTTGAAAAGGTTGTGCATCTTAAAATTGACTAAGTTCTGTGGTTGAATTAGCTATAAAAGTTTACTAGCTTTATTTTGCTACTCAAAACACCTTGATTAACTATATATAATTTTCAATGATACTGTTTTCTGAAATGTTCAGTTTTTTCAACAATGGATACATATGTCATACATTTTCAGATTCTCAAAAAATTGCATGAAAAAAAGGTTTCAAATACTGTAACCATGGTAACCTTTACAAAATACATGTGAATCCTATGTTTTTAGCTCATTTGAGCTTTTCAGTTTTTTTTTATCACATTGCGTCTGTCGTCCATTTGTTTGTATGGAAACTTTACATTATTAACTCGTCTACAACCACTGGGCCAATTTTAACCAATTCACATTGAAATCAGTATATGTACATCTGTATGTCAGTCTGTCAATTTAACCTTGGTCATCACAGTCATATCTATTGAATGAGAAGAGACAAGGCATTTGTATTAAACATATGTATAATTAGTATTTACCTGTGACAGTGCCATGATTTTTTTTACCCATGACCTTGAAGTTTGACCTACTTGCAAAAAAAATTACATTGTTTTAAATTCATCATTTTGAAAGAATTCATATTATACATGCATGTATATTATTACCTATGATAAGACCTTTCTGAATAAATCATGAATCTGTGACCTTGACCTTGAAGCTTAACCTACTTTTCAAAATGTTGCATTTGCTTATAACTTTGGATTGAGAAGAGATATGACTTTCACATTTGACATGTACAATACTCATAAGAATTCAAGGTGTTTCCCAGCATGCTATGATTTTTTACCCTATGATGTTGATGTTTTGCCTAATTTTCAAAATATTTAATTCTCCTAAAAGATGATCACGCTTATTGATTTGACCCCCCGGGGCAAAATCAAAATTCTGAAACCTTACTGCACATCTACATGACACCACCAACCATCTCCCAAAAGATGATTAGGCTGCTGAGTAAAATGTAGAAGGAGTTCAGGGAAGACGGAGCTTTTAGCATAAAAAACGTCATTTTTTGACCCCCATTTGACCCCCCGGGGCCAAATCAAAATTCCGAAACCTTACTGCACATCTACATGATACCACCAACCATCTCCTAAAAGATGATTAGGCTGCTGAGTAAAATGTAGAAGGAGTTCAGGGAAGACGGGGCTTTTAGAATAAAAAACGTCATTTTTCGACCCCCATTAGACCCCCCGGGGCAAAATCCAAATTCCGAAACCTTACTGCACATCTACATGACACCACCAACCATCTCCCAAAAGATGATTAGGCTGCTGAGTAAAATGTAGAAGGAGTGCAGGGAAGACGGGGCTTTTAGCATAAAAAATGTCATTTTTCGACCCCCATTTGACCCCCCGGGGCCAAATCAAAATTCCGAAACCTTACTGCACATCTACATGACACCACCAACCATCTCCCAAAAGATGATTAAGCTGCTGAGTAAAATGTAGAAGGAGTTCAGGGAAGACGGAGCTTTTAGCATAAAAAACGTCATTTTTTGACACCCCCGGGGCAAAATCAAAATTCCGAAACCTTACTACACATCTACATGATACCACCAACCATCTCCTAAAAGATGATTAGGCTGCTGAGTAAAATGTAGAAGGAGTTCAGGGAAGACGGGGCTTTTAGAATAAAAAACGTCATTTTTCGACCCCCATTAGACCCCCCGGGGCAAAATCCAAATTCCGAAACCTTACTGCACATCTACATGACACCACCAACCATCTCCCAAAAGATGATTAGGCTGCTGAGTAAAATGTAGAAGGAGTGCAGGGAAGACGGGGCTTTTAGCATAAAAAATGTCATTTTTCGACCCCCATTTGACCCCCTGGGGCCAAATCAAAATTCCGAAACCTACTGCACATCTACATGACACCATCAACCATCTCCCAAAAGATGATTAGGCTGCTAAGTAAAATGTAGAAGGAGTTCAGGGAAGACGGGGCTTTTAGCAAAAAAAACGTCATTTTTCGACCCCCATTTGACCCCCCGGGGCAAAATCAAAATTCCGAAACCTTACTGCACATCTACATGACACCACCAACCATCTCCCAAAAGATGATTAAGCTACTGTGTAAAATGTAGGAGGAGTTCAGGGAAGAAAAGTGTGACAGACGGACGGACGGACATGAGTAACAACAATATACCCGAACTTTCTTTAGAAAGTGCGGGTATAAATATAATTAAATATATTTAATTTGATTAACACAAAGTCATTGTATTTTTAATTCAAACTAGAACTGTCCATTAGGGACAAATACCCCCCGCTGGGTTTTTCAGAGAAGGTGCCAATTCAAAAATACTTTATGGATCTAGAGGTGTTCACAATTTACTTACAAAAATTTGCAGTGAAATACAATTGCTCATCATGTTTTTTATTAATGAATGAAACAAAGGTGCAACCAAATGAAACATCAAAACTAATACATTGTAATTCCATTGTAACATTTTGTTTAAATTTTTTCATTTTATTTTTTTTTATTACTGCATTAAAAAATATATTGCAATTATGTGTTATGTCACTCTGCAAACTGATTGTTGAAAAAAAAAACCATTATACAAAATCAAATTAATCTTGATATATCAATTTGAATTGCATTTTGAAAATAAAGAGCTGGTCATCCAGTGATGAAGTGCTTTGACAGACAATAAATTACAATTAAGAGAATAAGAGAAGAGAGATCTTTAATTCTTGTGCCTTATTCCCTGGAGATAGATAACACACACACTTGATAAGAGACTTCCAACACCAAACTCATTAATTTATCTTTAACTGGATGCATGTCCAGTCATTATTCCCAAGAGACAAATGAAATTACATTATCTTCTGTGCAATGTAAAAACTGTTTTTAACACTTTATGATGTTTCTTTTTAAGTTTTTATGAGTATAGTTTTAAGCTGTAGTATTTTTGAACAGATATTCTAGATTCTATATCTCAAACCTTATACATGAACCCAAAATGAACAAGTCAATTAAAATAAAAAATAAAACCTGTAAAATGCAAAAAAATTAACAAAAAGATCGAGTTGAAAATTCCAGGTGCACACCTTCATATGGTGAATAATAAGTGTACAAATTTTCAGATTAATCCTTGCAATAGTTTCTGAGAAACAGTCCAGACAAAACCACAAAATAAAAATGAAAAAACACCTGTAAAATTCAAAATAATAATCCAATCAAGATGAAAATATCAGGTGCACAACTTCATATGGTGAATAATATGTGTACAAATTTTCAGAAAAATCCTTCCAATAGTTTCTGAGTAATGGTCCGGACAAAATCTTGTCTACAGACAGACGGACAGACAGACAGACAGACAGACGGACATGGTGATTCCAATATACCCCCCCTAAACTTCGTTTGCGGGGGGTATAATAAACATACCTTCTTGGTGTAGTCCTATAACCATCGCTGCTGACCAACTTGAATTTACTTCTTCGAAACCAGGGTATAGGTTATAGGAACATCTGTAGAATTGTGTCTGGAAGGACCAGATCCTGTATGGAGCTATAAAGCAAAAACAAATAATTAGTTTTAACATCTTTTTAAGTCTATTTTTCAATTCTGAAAGGAAACAATCATGTAAAAAGTCTTTTTTAGTGTTATTGACTCATTCTGTTTTTTTTTTTAAATTTGCTTTAATACTACATGTAAGAATTCAAATGTATCTTACCATTCAGCTATTTCTTCATCGTCATCCTCTTGCCCTCTTAGACACATCAAAGGTGCTAGTTAGATTCAATCCAGGCTCAGGTGGTGTAGGGTCCACATCCTCATGGATAGAGGCAAGCTCTGTGGTATGGGGTCCACATCAGACACTTTTTTTTACTTTCCTTTAGATTGGTGAATCCACCAAACCAATGATGGAAGGAGATACAAGAAAAGCATCTGGAGATAAATAAGCCCAACTCCATGTGATAAGGAATTTTCTGAAAAAAAAGCAACTAACTAGATGCTGTCATGAGACAGTAATACCCGCACTAAGGTGTTTGCCTCTAAATGCACACTTCTTCATATTGGGCTTTACCAAGGAAAAAGTCAATATAATTCAATAATTTACATATTACATGTTTTATCAAATTGAGCATAATATGCTCAGGTGACCATGTGACCCATGGGCCTCCATCTAATAAGTATTTCATATCCTTAATTCATTACTAGTCTGAATTAAACAACAGAATTAATTAATGATGTAAATAAGGTTTGATAAAGGGGGGGGGGGGTTATAAATTTTTGGCACATAATTGGAACTTTTTAAATCTATTTTCTCATATCTATAAATCAACAAATAATATTATTCAAATTAGTGTAAAGAGTTTTTGATGAATTTTTCAAAATGTGCAAAGTTTATTTATATTTGACAAGGCAGTTCTAAACTTCTTGAAAGCTGCCATATACATGTATACACAATCAATTTAGTCAACCCCCACCCCTCTCCCATCAACACACACACACAAACACACCTAATTTGCCTGTTTTTGGAAATAGGCCTAGATGGAAAGTTAAGATAAAACATCTTTCGTAAGTTATAATTTTCAATTTGTTCTTGCACTATACATGTATTTGAACACCTGCATCACATTGGGCTTCCGTCACGTACCCAACTTAAGTACTAGTTTTACCATTGGCATTATCATTTTTAGATTTCACTGCACGTGCAGTAGGCTACTAGTGTGGTATACACATCGTTGCATATAGGAATTATTTCATTTTGTGTTTTAATTGAATTATATTTCATGAAGATTACAGGACCTAAATAATGACAATCGGTAAGTACAAAGTTTTGGTATAAATTTGGGTAAAATAGTCTGAAATGCAAACGGTTAGGTTCAAGTTTAAAGGATCAAAGGTCATCCGATGCTTTGACATTCTGAAGAGTTATCCCCCGTTATCAACGTTACATTCAGTTACAAGATCCAGAATTTTTTTCTGGGACTGGGAGGGTGGGGGGTTTCCAGACCAGAATTTCCTGAGAAGCTAAAAAAAAAAGAAGTTATGTTTGGGTCTGTTTTCTAAGGTGGAGGGACACTTAGGGCATACAAAGTCATTTTTATTTCCTCCAGTATATATTATAGTCCTGCAAATTCCAAGGGGGGGGGGGGGGGTGAGAGGGCGATCAGCCAATCCACTCCCTGTCCCTGTAATGACAAATGATCATGTGACT